GGTCGGCCAAACATGCTCAGCATGTGCGGTAGACCTGAAGTGCAGAAGGAGTTCGACTCAGCCGATCCAACATCTGGATCGGCTGAGCCGAACCTCCGGCAGGCTACTCGCTGCTGTTCGGTCTATTCTCATAGATGCTGAACAGCAGTGAGTGAATAGCCGAATGCCGCAAGGTGGTTCTGCTGCCGTCAGAATAAAAAAAATAAACTCACCATAGGAATGCATAGCTAGATTCCCATTGGCTATTTCACTTTGCAATAGCCAATAGCAAACTAGCTATTGCACCCGCCCTCTGCTGCTGTCAATCACTAGAAGGGGACCTGATGGAGAACTTCAGGTCCCCTCTGCTGACAGCAGCAGTGGGCGGGTGCAATAGCTAGTTTGCTATTGGCTATTGCAAATTGAAATAGCCAATAGGAATCTAGCTAACGGCTCCAACGGCTCCAATGTCAGAAGGAAAAAAAAAAAGACAACAGACCTGGGAAAGGTTTAATCTGCTCGATCGAGCAGAGTAACCAGGGACGCTGATCTGTCTGTGCAAGTAGCCGGAGGCAGCCGTGAGATGGCGGCTGGCTCCGCCCAGCCTTCAGTAGCAGGCTGTCGGCCGGCCAATGGCCGGCCGTTCGGCCAGCTTCGGCTTTCACCTCAGCTCAGTCAAGCCGAAGCATATGCCTTCGGCTTGACTGAGCCCCTCGGCCAACTTGGGGAGCTGTACGGGCTATAGTGTATAGCCCGTACAGCAGCCCTTCGGTTCTGCTGAACCGAAGGGGTCCCGGGAGGGGATAGTAACAGCCTTTCTTTAGGAGTTCTTTTAATAGTATAAAATGTAGGCATGTACATCTGGTGTCCTTGGGGACTACAAACAAGACTGATGTTATTAATAATTATGGCTAATTACCTATAGTGAAAGTGAAGTCTTTACAAAAATAGTATAGTAGAAGAAAGTTTTTTTTTCTTTTTATTCACTTGATGTTGTTAGCATGGTTGCAGTTTTTTTAACATCTCTTTGAAATAATTCAAATTGATAGTGGCCATTTAATAATGCGGATTGCTATCTTTTTTTGGACTTTATGGTGAAGGCCAATAAACAAGGACAGCTTCTGAGTATTATATGAAACTGAAAGAGAACTGAATACAATCTAACTTGGCAGTTACTTTGAAAAGCAGCTCACGGCTTTATTTTGCTTTTCTTAAATCTTGTTAGATCATTAGATAAATCAGGTGAACCTTTTTAATGATTATAGTTGTAATTTCAGTTGCAGTTTTAATCATAATTTGGACTGAATGTATCAAAAGAGCAAACATGTACATGGTGTTTTAAACAAAATATGATAATATATATGACTACATATATAAGACTGTCACAGGTCGGCTCAGTAGATCGGGAGGTGAGCGAACACATACCGGCGTTCGCTCACCTCTCGATCCTGTCACAGCTCTCTGCTGTGACAGGGGAGAGGCCGGATTCCCCCCTCTCCGCTCGGGGGAGAGGGCGGGTACAGCTGGCTCTGCCTCTAGATAGGCAGAGCCAGCTGTCACTCACGCAGCGGGGCGGATCCCGGCATAATTGTCGGGATCCGCTTCAGCTGCAACGTCTCAGTATACCGCGAGCAGCAGCTTAGGGTGACGGGAGGACGCTAGTTTGTGTCCTCCCCTTACCCTAAGGAGAACTATTGGGAAAAGCCTTAACCCCATAGTTCTCCTTTAAGTGCACATGATTACATGTCTGTAAAAAACAGAAAAGTCACTTTTGAATTTGAATCCTCTAAGCCATTTGCCTTTGGATTCTCCAGATTTACAGATGTTACCCTTGATGGAAGTGATGTTGGAATCATTTCCTGATTCACCAATAGACAACACTCAGATATTAAAATTAAAGGCAATGGATTTATTGTTGTCTCAAATTCTCAACTGGATGTGGAGGACATTGACTGCTAAAACAATTGTCAGAAGAATTCAGACCATATGTCACTCACCAAAACCAACTGCCTGCCCATAAACGTGTTTGTTATGGGAAGCCATTATTTCTGAAAAAGGTCTCCAAATTATTCTAGACATGCTAAATGTGGCTCACTCTAGTATTGTGAGCATAAAGGCTCTTGCAAGGAACTATAAGTGGTTGCCTGGAATTGATGATGACATGGAATTGATGTTGAAGTTGTACATTTTTTGGCACGTTTGCCAATCCTCTCCTCAAAAGACAGGTGTTCGAAACATACAGAAAACAAGATGTTATTATATCTGACATCTGGGGCATCTTTTATTTCTGAAGATCTCAAAAAAATTACCAAAAATAAGCTGTGGCTATTGCTTAATGCTGACTCCAAGGTTGTGGACAGTCAGAGAGAATGGTTCAGACAGTTAAAGATGCGCTGAGAAGAATTACTGATGGGGACTGGCTGACAAGACTTGTACATTTCCTGTCAGCTTAGCATGTTACTCTGTGTCCAACAACAAATGTCAGCTTTGCTGAACCTTTTATGGGGATCTCTTAAAATATGTCTTGATCCATCTTAATCTAGATTTGACTGATGAATTGGAGAAAAAGCAACAGCAAAATTTGCATTCTTCCCTATATTCCAACCCTTTACATTAATGCACTCTACATATGGTAAGAATTATGAGGGTGGACTAAAATTGGGTCCAAATGTAATAACTGAGGTTACTGGTCCTTTTGCATATAAAGTTTAAAGTATAGATGGATAAGACTGGCATTACCATGTTGATTAGTTGTGGAGACATGCTCACCAAAATGGTGGGTCCCCTTGGACTGTTTAGAAAGGGTTTCATCTGACTTTTTACCAGATATAGACACTGGTAGTAATCCTCCTCCGTGCAACAGAGTGCTTCCTAAATGGAAGGATGATTATATCAGCTATGGGGCAAAGAGTGTTGTGTAGCAATAGAGGGAGCTCTTGTCTTTGAGTTATAATGTTGTGTTGGGCTTTCGTATGTTTGTTTATTTCCTGTCTGTCTGTCTCTCTTGTTCTCCCTACTGTGCTGTAATGTTTATGTTGGAAAGCCTGGAACAGAAGGCAATTTCCAGTATTTGATGACCCAAAGCGATCATTACTGAGAACCTGACAGTATCATCACCTGTTCTATAAAGAAAAGAGAAAAAATGCTAAATTAAAGATTTTCCAACATGTGCCTTAAGGCACTTAAGACAACCAGGAGCTATGTTGACTTATGACAGGTATGTGCATGGGCACTTCAATGTTCGGAGGGTCACCTTTTGAAACAGATTCACGAAAAATGTGTCCACAGTTTTACAATGACTCACAATGCAACACAACACAGAGCCAGTTGAGTAAGGCTCTTATGGCAATTGACAGCTTTTTCTCTTTTTCAGCATTTTATGCTACTGGGATTATTATTAGACCTCTAATAGAGATCTACTGAATTCACTATGAACAAGTGAATTACATTTCTGCAATTTCTTTAAATTCAGATACTTCTCCTTCTGCCATTTGCATAACTTTCTTCAATATCATCTGCCAACAAGTGCAAATAAACTGTAGGTTTGCCAAGCTGAAATCCTGGAAGTTGAATCCCCAGTAGTTTCTCCTCACTCGCTCTAAGAAAGGGAATGTAGACTAGAAGGAGGCTGGAAGGTGGGTGTAGACAGGACACTGGTCTTATGTCTTATCAGGGAGAAAACACAGACACATCACTAACACATCTCATTCCTACTCTCTGGCATAGTCCCCTGTCATGTATGTTTCAGACAAGCACAAAAAAGGTTTTTGTAGCATAATTTAGTTTGTTTTCTCCATTGGTCCACCTCATAGTAACGCTGACAGTTATTCCTTTATTTACACTCCTCTGATTGAAATTGTGACAGCATTTGCTCCATGTCTGTGCTGTTTATTTCCATTCTGCTTATACACACTTCTTTATGCAGAAGATGACTGGATCCTGCACAGACCACCTGGATTTTGCTTCACTGTCGAAGTCAGGGATTTGATGACTGTGATACATACGTTCCATAGTGGTTTGAGGGTTAAACATAAAGCAGTGACATCAGCCAGTGATAGGAGCCAGATGGGAGCAGTTTGGGAAGGGGGGCAGGTTTGGAAGGGGAGAAAGAGGGCAGGTTTGGAGAGGGAGAGTGGGAGAGTATTTTGGACTGCTTCTCATTTGGGCTGGGATTGCAGGGGATTGGATTTCCCTCTTTCAGTCCTGAGCTGCTAACTTCAATCTCAGCAGCTGGACCTCTCACCATCTCTTTTCCCATCAGCCCTAAGAGACGAGGAGAAACCTCTGCCTGGCAGAGCATAACAGGAGCCCTGCCTGAAGAACATGACTGGCACACACGTGTGAAGCTGACAAGTTACCTTCTATCTCTTCTTCAGCTCAGGGGTATGCAATGAGGGGAAACTGTGCATTTTGCAAAAAGCCTAAAAATACGGCGAAAGGCGTAAAAACGTTTAGCTATTTTATTTTAGTATTAATACTAAGTATGGGTGTTGCACATATTTCAAGAACAGCTTATTGACCTTTACTTATTACAATATATATTAATACAAAGAGGGAACTACACTGCCTTTTACTGCAAATATGTACTAAGACAGATAGCATGCAGGGTGACAAAGTGAGATGCAGTGTGTAGCATTGTATATAAAGGGTAGACAGTGAAGTAATGTAATATGGGGCACTGCAGGATAAGAGAGAGTAATGAAGTGATGTGTTCTTACTAACACATAATTAAAGTCATAATGCAGGATTATAGAGGCAATATACGCAGGCTTGCATGGTGGGATGCAGAGTAATTCAGTTCAGAAAGGCAGTGTTAACTCATAACAGTGAGCATTAGAGATATAGAAGATAGACACAGCATAAGGCAGATTGCTTTTATACTATGCAGCAGTAAAGAATGTACAGTAATATAAAATCATAGTATAAGGCACATTGCTTTTTTTTTCATACCGAGCAGTAATAAAGAATCTAACATAAATTAGTACTTTGTGATTAAGATAAAATGCATGATAGACACTGAACTTGATTTTTAAAGACTTGAGCAAAGTTTGAGCTGTTGCTGATAGCCGTGTACTAGATAACCTGTTTCACTTGAAAGTGAAGTGTGAATGGTTGTCTGGGGAAACTGCTTAAATTATGCTGTTGTTTCATTTCCATTGATCCAAATAAACCCCTATGTGTTAATGATTAACAGGCATACCGCTGGAGACTTGTGCAGTTATGTGTATACTGTGGGTCCCCCAATGCCTTTCTAGTGTGGGTGTGTCCGGGTAACTAGGAATGGGGTCACGCTATTGCATGATAGTAAAATGCAATCTCCCTTTATGGTGCTGGTGTTATCTTGTTCACTGATCTGCTGCTTTTTGTCTGATCACGCCAATTCACTGTTGCCTCTTTGTCCGTGCTGTAATGTTATGCTGCTTTTGGTGACGTTTTATATTCCAATTTATTCTACATGGCTTCAAGTGAAGATTTTTCTGTCAAGCTAGAATCACTTTTTCCACAGCAATTCTGATACTGGTTTATAATTACTATTATGTAATGCCTGTGCTGATTTTCCACATTTGTGTTTTAAGTCATTTATATGCATATTAATGTGTGTGTTTTTGTATACGCACTGTAAGTGGCCATGTCCATTTTGGGTATGCTAGGCATTTAAGCTTGTGTAATAAGTACTATACTGAACTCTGTTAGTCACTTGTATCCTGGATTTAGGAGCTGTTACAGCAATAGCCCACTTGGTCCCATAGAAGTAGTTTGTGGCTGTCCAATTGATGCTGTCAGCAAATGGAGAGACATACATTGCCTCCGGAATGTAATAATAATATTACACATAATATTGGATTTCAATTTAGGAAACAGAGAGAGTGTAGGATCCCTAATGATTTACATCTTTTAGTAGAGTTGACATTATTGAAACCAAAGGGATTGCATGTCAGCAGGATTAGATTTAGGGAGCTATACAAACCACCTTAGAAAGAGAGGATTATATGGATGGTCATAAACTTATGATAACTGCCTGGAAAGTATGATTCCCTACAGGAAATACCCCTTCATCATAATGCCAGGACACAGGTGTAATGAAAAGTCAGTTGCAAGTTATATATTTTTCAAATGTGTGTGGAGCCGGGCAGACTGAACCACCCACACACTCTAATCTCACTGCTTTCTACATCGCTAGAATAATTCTTCAATGACCATTGGATATAATTAATGGCAGACATTTTTATCGGCTGTTATTTACTCATATGTTCATGTACTTTTCATACAATGATCTTGATTTAGTAATTACTTTTTATAGGCTATCTAACACCCAAAGGGCTCATATACATGGGCATTTGTCACATGCATTTTTTTCTGCATTTTGTAGTTGTGCTTACAAACATTTGAGCACTTTGTGCTAACCTGTGTCTACCTTTAGTGACAACTTGCACATCCCTAATTTAACCGAACATTAATTCAGGTTTGTGTGATCTATAAAAACAATTCAACAATTCTGTAATCCAGATAGTTGTGATTCATAAGCAGTAATCAATAATTTCAATAATGTAAGTAACTATAATAGAAGAAGCATGCAGTCAGTTAGGACTTAGTGAAGTCAGAAATACTAATATTTGTTTTAGACCAGCATTGAATCCATTAGATAAGCATGAGATCCAAGCAACTAGAACTTCCAGTGGTAGTCACCATATCTCTCAGTCCAGTTTTCACTTATTTGACCTTTTTAGTGCCCTGAATTACCATCTTACTTTACACAAGGCTTGTATAACCAATACTTAATTTACTTAATAGTCAATTTCTACTTACAATGAAAATATTGTTGGGTGGTATATACTGTATAAACCTCTTTTGAGGTTTCACACACTGCACATAACCATTTACTACCACAGTTAAGCAACACAAGTATATAAAGTACCCAAAATGTTTTGGATAGAGTAGGGAATGGTAAAAACCTATGGTAAAAACCCATTTATTTTTACTGTCTGTATCCCATTGGGAGAATTTCCCTTCACTTCCTGCTCAAAGACACAACAGAAATCTAGAAGAAATCTCTCCAAATTAAGGGGAAATCCTAACACAGTTTGTCACCAGAAAAGGTGTCCCCATTGGAAAATTTCCCTCACCTATAACATTTTGGATTTCCCATGGCTTTCTTTCCCAGTGCCATCGGTGAGATGAAGCCCAGCATTAATGTAAATAGAAATACAGACAACAGATAGCAGATTGTGACACCATTTGCTAGATAAAGATATTGCATTCATACGGTATGAATGCTGAGCAAAAGCAATGGAATCAGCACATATGATATATAAATCATATGGCTGATGTGATTAAGTAATTGTGGTGTGCATAGATGGAATTCAAACAGCAATCGTTATGGGCTGGTTTTCCGTACAGTTTTCCATTGCAGAAAATCCTTAGCACTGGTAAAAAAAACAGCAGTTATATTTCAAAAATCGCGCCTATCGTACTAGCATCATCAACCAAGTCTGCATTTGCTCAAGTCTGTTTGGCAAAAAGACCACACCCATAGTAGTACATTTGCCCTGGTAATATCATATGGGTCTTGGAACACACAAAATGACAGTGGTAGAAACTAATGGCACCGATTACCTGGTTGAATCATGGACCATTAATATTTTATTATGAATTAACAATTAATACAAACAAATTAATAAAATTAATTATTATTGTGATAAAATAAAAATGAATAAAAAAGAATAAAGCAGTTAATAGTACTACATACAAATATGATAATCCTTATTCAGGTTGCTTAAGATTTGTAGTGCTCTTGCAAGGGGCTTCGAAAAAACTTTCAGTGATTTTATAAAACACTAACAATCCTAACACAGTGGCAAAACAAACCTATCACAGCTGACTGATGCAGACAGGAAAGGTAACTAGATACCTGTTTTCTTAAAGCAGAACTCCAAACTAAAGTCTTTTTTTAATTTAGTTATGACTACAGTAGAGTGGGGGCTGGAACCAGTGTCAGGTTTATGGTTTATATTGCTGTCTTTGTCCCACATTGGGAAGATTTCCTCTCACTTCCTGTTCCAGTGACACAAGAGTAAGTATGGAAATATTGCAAATAAATGCAAAGAAAGTATTTGGAAGGGCCAACTTTTATCAACTCTAATAACAAGACTACTTTTATTGCTGTCTGTTCACCTTGGAGAGCTTGAGCTCATTTTATATTTCTGTGATATGACAGAAAGTGATAGGAAATGCCCAGGAGGGTTAGAAGGGTTAAATAGTGCTGAACATGTTTTCATACCCTTTAAGTAATACCCTGTAAGGATAGTGGTTGGAGCCAAGCAAATCATGACACTTTTCCCCAGTTGCCAACTTTTCATCTAAAACTGCTAGATTATACACCTGGACTAACTAGCCTAGTATATAAATAATATTGAACAGCTTGCCTACAGCTGTATCAGGTTCGACAACCTTTATCTGTGCAATATTTGGATTGGACACCATTAATTCTAATCTACAGATTAGATTTTAGGCAGAGGGCTATGGTGCCCTACTGAGAGTTAGTAATATTGCCTGTCCCTGCATAAATTCTATTATTGATAAAGGTCAGTGCATCCACAAAACTGCAAGATGCATGCCTTGCCAAGCTGTAATTGTACATGGCATCATTTTAATACTGTATAGAAAATTTCGCTTCAAAACAGGTTAAATGAATGCAGCAGAATAATGGGTCTCAATGTATCTTAAACCAACACCTGCTTATTTAGGACAGATAATAGAAGAGTCAGCAACATAACTAGTTCTTTTAAATATGCAGAAATACAAGATCTTTATAAAAACTGTATATATGTCAGCAGCATAGAAGTAGTTGTTAATCTGTAGAAAGTTACATAGTTACATAGTATTTGAGGTTGAATAAAGACACAGGTCCATCACGTTGAACCTTTGTATGTCTGTGTGTGATTGTGCGTGTACCACATATTGTTCATATTATCTTTCCCAGTGGGGTTAATGCAGTTCCCTTTCCTTTTTGGAGTGGCTGACGCAGGGAATGCAGTAGCTTTCCATAAATGGAGAGTTTTCAGGAGCAGTGAAATGCTGGCAAAAGATACAGACAGAGCAGCCCTGTATCCTAGACACCTCTGATAACTCCTTAGTTGCCAGAACAGTGCACAGCAAATACATGAGTACAGTAGCCAATACTACTTTAAAGCCCATAGAATTAAGTTCAGGCAAATTGATCCTCTTTAAAAAAAAAAAGGGGTTGAGTTATGGAGATGGTCGCTTGGCCATATCAAGTGATTTGTGGAGTTATCCCATTGTCCTAATAACTAGATGGATTTTTCAGTGTATCTGATTAAGGCTTTTCTATCATTGCCATCACTACTTGGCACTTAGAAAACTGT